CCATTGTACATGATTAGACTCTTGGACAAAAGATGAAATATCATAAAGGAAAATCAATATTTGCATTTTGTTCACCGTTTCACAATTTACAGGGAAGAGAAATAGTGCATCTCTTGGAGGCTTCCGGTGTTATCTCTTGGAGTTTTCTTTAAAAAATGTACCAAGTAAGGAACTTGAATTAATGTCTGCCCCAAATTTATATTTACTTGTTGAGTTCTATCTTATCTATCGAGATTAATTTCGGCCACTATTTCCAACTTCCATGACTTATCTATAATCCTCAAGTTCCATGATTTTTCTGTAATTCTCTGGAGCAAACCTTTTGCAGGGACTGAAATTTCTACCAGAGTAAATGAACATGGTATTAGGTACTGAAAATTTTTTGTGCATGGGTCTTTGACTTAAGTTTATGCTGCACATGATTGCAGTTTCTTCGAGTCTGGAGCTTGGGACCTTGGATACTGTTCCTAGCATAGAGAATCTCAGCTGCAAGTTGGGTTTGTCAATGCAAGAGGGTCAATCTGGGTACTTCCGCTCATTTTGTGCCTTCTCCAAGTGAAGCTATTGTTAATACAATATTGTTTGAAATGGTACTAAATTTCCTTGGATGCACACAGCAGGTTTGTTCAGCATGCGTAATATTTGTCTTTTACCAATTGATTATAACTATTGATTCATTGGAACCATAACCAGAACATTTGGAGACCTATAACTTGTGTTTCCAACTTGTAAATTACCTTATTCTAATGGGCACTGTAGTAACTGATAAATATTGTTATTAGCAAGAGAACCTCGCTTGGTTTTTTTTTTCTCTTTTCTTGTGAATGTTCATTATTACTATTGAGAACCACGAATGGTAACTGGTCTAGCCAAAGACAGACCTTTTATCACATGTCCTCACATGGGAGAGTTAAATTTCAACTTGGATACAATACGAAAATATTCCCTCTATTATAAGATGGGACTATGGGACAAAAAGTTACCAAGACAGCCCCAATAATTCTTCCCACTAAAACATTAGGACACAACATTTGGGAACAAGATATTTACCCATAATATGTGCATATTTTCCTACATCATTCACTAGCTAGTATATCCTTCTTCTGTATACTCCACTCACTGCTTGGGTATCACTCTCTGAACAGTTCATGGCTTCATCTCCCAGATCAAAAACTTCAAGTTTCAACCTATCCGAGCAGTGGCTCCTGATGGCAGCTATAACTCTTGTCTGTGGAGTCCTGGGTTATCTTGTCTATGATGCAATAATGGCTACAGCATCAGAACTTCTGCAACGTTTACTGGTAATCTCTCCTTTACTTCTGGTTGTTGTGGTCCACTGGCTCTCCTCAGGCAGCCATTTTAATTTCCCCATGCCGGGTTCTGAGCCTGGTGCCATCCACCGAGCCGGGGGCTCTCCTTGGGGTGTGGCTTTCGTTCTTCTGCTGCTCTTCTTCCTCATATCATATCAACCTTCCTTGCATGGCTTTCTTTTTTAGTTTATGCGCCTCCAGTCATATATATATATATATATATGTCTGTGAGAGTACTAGTGCAGATTAACTTACATCCATCAAATTAGTATTTTCTTGAGAGGAGCTGAAGCAATTGTGTAATCTTGATAAGAATATGACTTGTATGAAGTTGTGCCTCTTCGAGTAGCTTTCTGCAAAAGCCACTTATTTTAGAAAGTGCTTCTGTTATATGGTAACCTCAAGATAATCTTGTGAGTAGACGGGTAGATCACAATAACATTGTGAAAGTTATCTCTGAATGATGTTAGTCCATCAATTTGCAGAACATAATCAAAAGCTTCTTAGGGCTCATTAGGACAATCAAGTCTTGTTTCAATCCTGTAGTCATTCCAACTTTGGCAAGCAGACTAAAACACTGCATTAATTGGTAATCTGAACTACTAGACTGTAAATATGGAAGGATTTATAAATTAAAAGTTTCTATAACCTCTACAATTAGCACATAGTTAAAGAGCTTATAAACTCTGTAGCTTATAAGTTCTTGTATTTTAAGTTATAACCCACATCTCGTTACATATCAGATTAAGTTAAAATCCACTGACAAACTAGATCATAAATGTGATAATCTTGGCAAAATGTAAATAATACTCTTATGCTTTCATTGCTTTCCAGATTAGCCTCAACAGATTAGTACCTAATACTTGTAAGGTTGGTGTGGTATAATATTGGTGGTAAATTAGGTTATAAACAGATTATAGGACCACTCTGATTATGAACTGGGATTGTACTTTTTTTTCTCAGCCCCACCCTCAAGATAATCTCAGATCTCTGACTGTATATTGTATTGTTCATTGGTCCCCATCCATCTTCATATATTCAAAGAAGCACTGCAAAGTCAGCTTTCCTGCAAAAAATTGACAATCCTTTTAGGGTTCCAACTCAACATTTCATTATATCTTTGTAATTGGAATGGTGATTTTTTTAATAGAAAATGTATAATAATATTCTCAAGAGCACTAAAAGGAGTACAAACCCCGTATATAAAAGTGTTTACAGTTCAACGAGAATTTAACTAATATCCCGATCGATCTGTAAATACTTTTGTATACGGGTTTGATTTCCTTAATATTTTTGGATATATTATTATGTTTTTCTATTTGAAAGAAAAATTTTATTGAGTAACTTTGCTTTTGCTCCTCTTCTTTTTCTTCTTTGAACTTTTAACAAAAGTTTTAAACTTTATTTTGCTATCAGAATATGCACTGCATATTTCAATTCTATTGCACCATAGATTTAAAGGGTGAATCCTATATATGGCATCTTCACTTTTGGGTGGGTTTAGTTTTATTGCTTTAATTCTTTAGATGGTAGCTTAAACTAGTTTTAGACGATTTATACACGCTAGTTATAACATAATCTTCAAATAAGTACATACGAGAACGAACAACTCACTTATCTTAGATGATTTATACACACAAGTTAGAACATAATCTTCCAACGAGTACGTACGAGAACGAACGACCCATATCGAATTCCTGAATCCTTGTAAGATCAAACTTAAATTTAATTGTATGAACCCAGATGGGTCCTTACAATATGATGTTTGTTTTTCATTTCAGATTCATTACAGACTATGTTGTATTGTGAAATAAAAATAAAACTATGTTTTTCATTGAAGACACAGGAGAAGACACATGGGGAGAGAAGCAAACTGGCAGATGATGTGATGTATCTCCCATCTGTAAAAATCAATGAATCAGCCAAAACCAACACCTGCAGAAAAAGCTGAATTCTCTTTGATTGAACCAGGACCCCTCGATCTATTCCCACGAGAATCTAACGGTCGTGATTATATACATAGATGTGTACTGTGGAGCAGAGAATTATCACCTTGTCAGGTTATTGTTTTCGCGTGTGAGAGTAATTGGCCTCGTAATGCCTGGCACGTGACACGTGTGTGCCATTGTCCGAGAACTGTCATTGTACGGCATGGAATTGATTGGTCAAACCATAAAAGTCAAAAATAAAAATAAAAAGTTACAAATGGGTGAAAATTTCTTTTTTTTTTTTAATTTTGAAAATAAATTTGGCCCATCAATTTCCATGCATAATATTTGTTGACAAAAGTATATTCTTGTTATTTATAAAATTAAATTTAGTTTAACCTTTAATTTTGGTTAAATAAAATAAAATATGATATAAATAAGATAAAATTTTATGTGAATCGGATTTTTAGATCATATAAGCTAGTAGATCGTACTTTAGTTAAGAGGGTTCTTTACGTCTCTGATAGATTATGGCTCTCGTAAATTTTTTAATAGTTTGTTAAGTTCTTTTGCACTACTTTCAAATTCTACTAACTCGATATTTTCGGAAGTTTAAAAGTTTTATATGTAAGTATATTCAACACTATTGTAACTTGGAAGATAAATATCTATAATACAATAAGATCTAATTGTTCTACTTATATATTATAAATTTGAATCTTACTGAATATATGGAATTTGAAATCTATTATATTTGGTGACAGATTCAGACTCCTTAATACAATGGGTCTGAGACTTAGTTTGTTAGTGTTTCGTAAGAACGTGATAATTAAGTTAGACTGTAACATCCGAGCCGAAATTTAGGTATAGGATAATTCAATCATAATAATGAAATAAATTAAAAAAAATTAATTGATTTTAAATTTTTGTTATTTTTTTTTTATAAAAAATTATGTTTTGGATGCATTTGAAAATATTTTCAAAAATTAGGAATAAAATAAAAATAAGGACCAAAGTAGAATAAGGGAGGATCTAGTTGAAAAAAATCTAGAAAACTGGGGTAAAAATAAAATTAATAAAAATTTAGCCACGTGGACTGCCATATTAGCAGCGCTGCCAGTTGTCGTGTGCTGCGTTGCAGACATATGGACACGCGTTCGTGCGGAAAACTCTACGAGCAATCCACGAGCTAGTAGATCCAATGGCCTAGATCTCCTCTTGCGCGCACAGACAGTGCAGATATATTTTCTCTTCAAGCACGATCGAACGGATTGATTTGATCAAATCGTACGGTCCAAATTAATTCTCCAAATAAGAGCGATCTAACAGCGATGAGTGGGCCACATGTCCCTATTCGAACGGTCTATATCGACTCAAAAAAGGTATATAAGCATCGCATCACTAAAATCCTAACCCTAACCACACCTGAGCTCGTTGGAGAAGAAGAAAAAAGGCGGCCGAAAAGAAAACCAACCGTCGTCGCTGCCGCACCGGAGCCACCGCTGACACCAGAAAGGTAAAAATTTTTTCCCATTTCATTTGAAATTTGATTTAAAACTTCCCCACACTCATATCGGAGCGAAAAAGCCAAAAGGTAAGCTGAAAACGAGAGTAGACCTTGGCAAAATCGTTGCGGTCGTGACCCAAAAATCACTCCAGTGAGCCCTTTCCCATTTTCCATTCCCTTTGATTTTTCTACCCTTGTGTTCCTAATTTTCTTTTGATGCAGGTCGACTAAAGAGAACCCTCGGCCGCGAGAAAGGATCGGCGAAGCCGCCGCACCTGAAAATCCCCTCCAGTAAAACTTCGATTTTTTTCTTTTTTGGCCAACATAGATCGCCTAACCCCATTTTTAGTAAGTTTTTGTGCAAAACCACCCAAAATCAACCGAAAATGGCCAGGTCGATAGGAGACGCCGCCGTGGGCGCCGGAGCATGGTGGTGTCGCTGCGCAAGAACCCTAAACCGACTGAAAAAATTTTAAAATGCTAAATTTTATCCTTTTGGGGTATTTTGAAATAAGTGACATGTATTTTTAATTTCTGTAGAAAAATCTAGGAAACCTGAAAACCATTAGATAGTGCAGTAAAAAAAGGTCGTGTTTCGAATACTGACCTATAGCAAGAATCTCTCACATTTTTTTTCTATTACGGTAAATTAAAGTTTAATAATTAATAACAGTGTATTTTTTAAAATGTTAAACATTCCTAATTAATTGAATACGGGTTACCAGTAGAGCCGTTAACTGATCATTGTGTAATTGCCCTAGTGGTGTTACTCATTTATTCTTATACTGTCTAAATTATTATTATTTATCAATTTTAATTATTTTCTCGCTTATTGATTACTTAGCTGTTATCCTCATTTGTTGACTGATTTGAAGTAAATGTCCTGATTCTGTTGTTTGTATTATCTGTTTATATGTCGTACTATATATCTGTAAGTATGAAATGATTGTGTATAATTGGTGGCTAGTTAATGATGCGAATATGTGCATAAAAGGCTTATCGAGTATCATAGAGCGTACGAACCCGGTATAAGGCAAACCCTACCGTTGACATTATCTTAGTCGAACGGGGCTGAGAAGTCCCATACCGGATGATATATTGAGGCGGTGGTATGTTTCACGCTCATTACCGGATAGGGTATGGGGACAACTTGTTAATTGATAAATTGGATATTGGGTCCACGCATAGTTGAAGCCCCTATGGGTCCCCAGAGGTACCGGTAAGTAGATAAAAAAGTAATGTTTACTCATACTGTTTCTTTAAATGTCTAATAAATTGCTAACCTAATTATTACCTTCATAGGTCGGTTTGAAAACTCAAAAAAGTGAGTATGAAACTAACTTTTTTTTTATATTAAATGAATTTATTTAAAATGGATAATGGCTCAATGAGTTGTTTTACGATTTTTATCAACATTTAGTTTTCCATATCAGTGTTAAAATATTGATATTCTTACTAAATTAGTATGGCTCATCTCCCTTATTTAACAATTTCATATTAGGAAGATCAAGATCCAGATCCTGAACCATAAGGAAGTTACGACGAAAAATTATATTTCTCATCCCATCAAAGTTGTTCAGTGGAAGTTAACCTTATAGGATTCTAGTTTCTTTTCTGTTTCTATTATTTTAACTTTAATTAAAAAAAATGGACATACCTATAATTTTATTGGACATCCTGATTTACCGTGTAAGTAATGTAAAATCTTAAACTAATAATTGATTCCGCTATTATTTTACTAATTCAGTATCTTCATTTCCATTAAGTTTTCGGGATTTACATAGACTTTCTTCCAATGAATTACTACATATTTAGTGAAAGAAAAATTATATAATAATTAGTTTTCTTTAATTAGAGTAAGTAGAAGAAATTTATGAGAAAAATCAAATTAAGTGATTCATAAGATTAATTATCTTAACATTCATATAAGATATAAGCACGATTGCAAACTATTTTATTCAACTATAATAGAATACACTAATGAACTAAACTTTATACACACTATACTAATTTTAATCATAATGCTCTTAATCACTAAGAAAACTGCCTTTATATATATCTATATATATATATATATATATATATAAGTTGAAATTATTAAATTAACCATCAAAGATTAGTACAATTACACAAAATTAATTAACTAAAGCAGCTGGGTTTGCATTTCTTGTATAACTAAAACGAACAAAGCATGCTAAGCCAACTCTCTTCATTACAATTACTACATACAATTATATATATATATATGATTTTTTATAGTTATAATTAATTATTATTAGTAAAAAATCATTTAACCAATAAAGGAAACCAACGTTCATGAAGCGAAGACTGGTAGGAAACCATAACCAGAAGGAAGACAAGCAAGAAGGCCACCCCCCACGGCGATCCTCCGGCTCTGTGGAGCGAATCCTTCTCGGGCAACGGCAGGAAGAACGAGAAGCCGCCGGCCGGCGACAGGAGATGGACGAGGAGGAGCAAGAAGAAAGGAGAGAGCATGAGGAAGAGCTTGAGCTGGTACAAGATGTCTTCAAACTTGGACTCGTAGTTTATGTACCATGAAAACCCTAAAACGGAGAAGAGGATGAAGATGAAGAAGCAGAGATGGAGAGGGATGGAGAAGTAGTCTAAGTATGAAGAGTTGTAAGGTCTGGCCATGGCTGATTTTGAGTCAAATGGGTGTGAGTTGAAAGGTTCTTTTAGTTTTTCTCTGGAGAAGTTCTGTGGAGGAGAAAAATTGTTTATCAAGTTTATATAGGGAGCTAAATATGCATATGCATATATCTATCTATATATATATATATATACATACACACATAAAGTAAAAGTATGATGGGTATGAGTTGAAATGTTCTTTTAATTTTTCTCTGGAGAAGTTTTGTGGGGAAGAAAAATTATTTGTGAAGTTTATATAAGGAGCTATATATGTATACATACACACACACACACATAAAGTAAAAGTGTAACTAAAATTCTTCTTACCAACAAAATTTTTGCTACAAAGTCATTATACAAATATTATGAATTTGAGTCTCATAATACAAAGTTCATGATATAATAAAAATTATGAGTTCGAGTTAAATTATGTATCTCGTATTTATAATAAAAAATTTGTATTATAAATAATTTAAGATTATATTATAATAAATTTATAAATATTAGTTGATTAATAATATATTTTATTAGAATAAAAAAAAACTTTTCTTAATTTTGAAGGTTTTTTTTTTTTGTAGTTTTAGCAAGTTTGTGCAGACAGATTGTAACGGCCCCGGAAATGTTAAAATGGAGTGAGTATTTAAACACATAAAATGCGGAAGCGAGATCAAAATTTCAGTTAACATCCCTTACACGAAAACCAAAAACATACTTAAAATATAAAAGATTAAACTAACTAAAAGAGAAACTCGAAAATAAAACTATGAGTATGACTACAGAGTCTCTAGGCATCCCCTTCGTCGTCCTCCTGCGGAACGGGCTCGGGAACCATGTCTTCCTGATCTGAAATGGTTAAATAAGGAGTGAGCTACACTAGCCCAGTAAGAACATCACGATATCTCACCGTCACGGAGGTAAAGGTGGGTAGAAAAACACAAAAGACCAATGGAGCATGATTTACAACAAATCCTTTTATTTATGATAAAACCTTTACCATCCACTTACCTCGGTGGAATTCATGAAACAATATAAGAAAAACAATAACATTATCACAATCATGGAATAATATAAGCTGTAAAACATAGCACTTATCACGCCTTTTATAATTCAATCATTATACAACATATCCTTTTCTCATTTACCAGTCTACTAGTATCCATGGGGGTTCATAAGGGTCCCGCTACCCGTTAACCTTTAACATTCATAATCAGTTTCCAGGACCGTCCCCATACCCCGTCCGGTATGGGCGCCAAAACCATAAACCTCAATACCCCGTCCGGTATGAGGGTGAAACGGGCCGTCCCCATACCCCCTCCGGTATGGGCGCCAAAACCATAAACCTCAATACCCCGTCCGGTATGAGGGTAAAACGGGCCGTCCCCATACCCCGTCCAGTATGGGCGCCAAAACCATAAACCTCAATACCTCGTCCGGTATGAGGGTGAAACGGGTCGTCCCCATACCCCGTCCGGTATGGGCGCCAAAACACATAAGATCTCCATACCCCGTCCGGCATGTGAGACCAAAATCCCGGTAGGGTTCCCTACGGACCCGGTCCGTCCACCATCTCCCACGATATCTAGTCAGGCTGACCCCATCATACAATTATCAGTCTACACAATCTTTCATTTTCCTCTTCCTCAGTAAGCATTATCAATTCACGTTTTAAACAAGCAAATTGTAATTCATGCCAAACAAACAACATACAGTATCAGTTTTTCAGTCATTCAACCCATAATTAATAAAAACGTAGTATATGCACACAAATCTGTAAAATGAACACATCAAACTCATTTTGCATTTAAAGCTGTAAACAGGCCAAATAACAGTAAATCACCAATCACACTAGGCTCGGGCTCCATTAGCCACCTTAAACAATTTCACACATTCGTTAATTCAAGAAATACCGTTTTATCATTTTGAACTTTAATACCGTGATAGGAAATAGGGTGAGGGGTCCTTACTTGTTTTCGGGATCCGAATACGATTCACAGTGCGCCTACAGGCCGTCCCTAATTTTCCCTGAATTTTTCCCGGGGAACTGAAACACACTAACGGTACCTGCACGTGTTCCAAAAAAATCTCAAATTAGGCTCAGGGCCCCTTTTTGGCCAATATTGCAACTCCGGCACGGCGGCTCCGCCGTGCTTCGGCGACGGCGCCGCCGCTTGCGGCGGTGATTCGCCTCGGGTTGGCTGTTTTCGGCCGTTTCCGGCCGAATTCGGCCACACTCGCATCGGTCCCTGCGAGAAAACAACCCTAGGGCCCTCGGGGGGCCAAAAAATCACAGAGAAGCGGAGCTTACCGGCGGCGACGCTCTCGGGTGTGGCGGCTCTCCGGTGAGGTTCGGGGTTTGGTGATTCGGCTCTGGTCAACCTGTAGAGAAAAGAATGGTGATCATGGTGATATAAAAATTGCATCAAACGGAGGCCGGGAAGGGCCTCGTCGGAGGCAAAAACCGAGAGGGGGCATGGCGGCGCCGCTGGTCTTCGGCCGCGTATTCCGGCCGTTTGGCCGGGATTTTGGCTTCGATTTGGCCACAGGAGGAATCAGCGTGGAAAAACAAGTCGGGGGTATGAAATTTACCTCGATCGGCGGTCGAAAATTTCCCCGGTGCGGCGGCGGGTGGCGGCGGTTGGCCTCTGGTTCATCTTCTCCGGCGAGCGGCAGGCGGCTAGGGTTTGTGGTCTGGTGTGGGGGTTCTATTTATAACCCCTTGCCTTTTGATCTCAGCCGTCCATTTCGTTTTAATCTGGGCCGTTCGTTTTTGATTGAATTTGAGCCGTCCGTGCGATTGCATCTGGGCCGTCCGATCGCGCGATTGATCTGGGTCGTCCGATCGCACCCACGCGGATTACCAACGTGGCCCCTTTTCGGAGCGACGTGGTCTTGCCACGTGGCAGGCCCCGGTTGGCCGGGACTGCTGACCGGGCCTGCTGACGTGGCTGCCGACGTGGCCTTTTTTTTTTTCTTTCTCGGTCCGGGCGCTACACAGATTCTTTCAAAGTAATTGACAGCACTTTCTGCCACAAAAAGAATTATTTATTGTTTAAAAATATTTATTTAAAGAAAAGAGAAAGAAAAAATAATGATTACTTAAGAGGAAGTATACTATATATACATACATATATATATATACATATATAAAAACAAAAGTGAAAATGGTCGAGAATGATCTACGTAAGTCTTGACTTCTTTGGAAAAATTTCACCAAACTAATCATGAAAAAATAATATTAGTGTTGCACCATTTAATAAATTAAATGAGTAAATTAAAATAAATAAATAATACAACTTCATGTTATTCTTGAAAATGTTTTACTTTTTATGAATAGTATAAAAAAATTAAATTAATTATATTTTAGTTTATTATATATCTAATTAGAAGAAAAAAAATGTTTTTGAAATTAAATTTTGTGCTTGGAAAATAATTAATGAGGATTTTTTTTTTTTTTTTTTATGATCCGTATGCAGACAACCGAAAGAGAGACTTGACTTTTGAGGTAGAAGATCATGTATTCCTGAAGGTATCCCAAATGAAGGGTTTGTTGAGATTTGGGAAGAAGAGAAAATTGAGTCATCGGTTTATAAGTCCTTTTGAGATTCTTGAAAGGGTGGAGATAGTGGCTTATAGAATAGTACTTCCTTCGAAGTATGCGCGGGTTCATAATGTATTTTATGTGTCAATATTGCGGAAGTATCAACCCGACTCGATACGTATTATACAAGTTGAGTTAATTTCATTGGAAAGGGATTTAACCTATGAGGAAAAACCAATCGGTATCCTGGAAAGACAAGAAAGAAAATTGAGGAGTCGAGTAATACTTATGGTGAAAGTGTTGTGGCAGCATCAAAATAATGAAGAGGCAACGTAGGAACGGGAGGATGAAATGAAGATTATTTATCCACAACTATTTCAGGTAATATTTTCAAAATTTGAGGATTTAAATTTCTTTTAGGGTGGGAGTATTATAATACCTTAATAAAATTAAAAAGGGGAGATAGTCAACTAAATAAGTGGTGCGGATTATAGGGTTAGGAATGGATAGGTAGGATTTAATAGAGGGGAGGACATATAAAAGGGAGTGAAAAAAAAAAG